CCAATCTGTGATTGGTCTTCTTGTTATCTTAATATTGTCTTAACCAGAGCAGAAGTTTTAAATTTTAATAAATTCCAGCTTAATAGTTGCATCTTTTGTGGATCATTCCTTTGGTGTTATATCTAAAAAGTCATCACCATACCCAAGGTCACCTAAGTTTTCTCTTACGTTATCCTCTAGGAGTTTTATAGTTTTGTGTTTTACATATAGGTCTGTGATCCATTTCGGTGACCAAGGATGATGAGAATAAAGCCAGACACATCAAACCCCGGTGCTTATTGAGTAAGGAAGGTGCCCAACACTCTTCCTTAGAAATTTTTTAACAAGTCATACTAGTGAGGCATTCAAGATCTAGACGAATTACCATAATTGTTGCTATAAGGAAAATGGTAACAGAGAAGCTGTGGAAATTTGATCAGTGCATTATCCTTTACCAAATGTTCATGGAGTTAATTTTCGTGAAGGGCGTAAGGTTAATTTTTTAGCATGTGGATGTCCAATTGTTCCAGCACCATTTCTTGAAAATACTATCTTTTTTCCATTGTTTTGTCTTTGTTCCTTTTTCAAAGTCAGTTGACTGTATTTATGTTCATCTCTTTCTTGGTTCTCTGTTCTGTTCCATTGATCTATTTGTCTGTTCTTTTGCCAATACCATACTTCTTGATTAATCTAGCTTAATATTAAGTCTTGAAGTCAGACAGAATCAGTTCTCTAATTTTGTTCTTTTCCTTCAATATTGTGTTGGCTATTCTGGGTCTTTTGCTTCTCCGTAGAAATTTTAGAATCAGTTTGTCTATATCCACAAAATAACTTGCTGGGATTTTGATTGGGATTGCATGAATCTATAGATCAAGTTGTGAAGAACTGACATCTTGACAATATTGAGTCTTCCTATCCATGAACATGAAATATCTCTCCATTTATTTAGTTCTTTGATTTCATTCATCAGAATTTTGTACTTTTTCTCATATAGATCTTGTACATATTTTTCTAGATTTATACCTAAGTATTTCATTTTTAGGGTGCTAAATTAAATAATATTTTTGTGTTTATTTTCTAATCCTACTTGTTCATTGCCAATATATAAGAAAGTGATTGTACCCCTGTAATATGCTGAAATAGAAAAATAAAAAAATAATTAAAATAAAATTTTTTAAAAAAGAAAGTAATTGGCTTTTATATATTAACTTTGTATCCTACAACCTTGTTGCAATCACTTATTAGTTCCAGGAGATTTTTGGTCATTTCTTTTGGATTTTCTACATAGATGATCATGTAATCTGTGAGCAGAGACAGCTTTACTTCTTCCCTTCCAATCTGTATACCTTTTATTTCCTTAGGAATATTGCATTAGCTAGTACTTCCAGTGTGATATTGAAAAGGAATGGGGAGAAGAGACACCTTTGCCTTGTTCCTGTTCTTAGTGGGAACAATTATACACTTTAAAATATTAAGTATTTTAAAAGATAGTTATCATAATGATGGTATTAATCCCTGTAGTCAAAATCTGTGGTTCTCTGTTCTACAGAGAGGTACATCCATTGATTCATTCATTCTGATTATGTGCCAACCATGTGCCAGGAAAGATCCATTTCTGTGTCCTTAGAATGGATGCTTTTATCTTTAGCCAACAAGTGCCAGGTTGTTCTCTGATTATTATCAGAAAAAAAAAATCTTAATGAAAAAAGTATCATCACTTAAACACTTTGGCTAATATGATAGATAAAAAGTAGAATCCCAAAGTAATAGAAATTTGATTTCTCATGAAGTTAAGTATTTTTAAGTACACTCTTTGTGAATGGTATATTGAACCTCTGTCCATTTTTCTGTTGGCATCTTATTTTTTTAAATTATCTGATCCTTTATGGTCTAAAATATTAAATCTTATTTTGTCATAGTTCAGATTTTTTTCCAACATATATTTGCCTTTTAATTTTATAATTACTTTTCTTGACATATTAAAGTTTTAAATTTTCATGTAGCCAAATCAATCAGACCTTGTATTTCTTATTTTTTTCCTAATACTGTCATATGTAGAATGCCCATCCCATCTAAGATCTGATTTTTACTTTTATAACCAGTGTTATGGTGTATTCCCAGTCTTAAGATTTGCAATATCCACCTCTATTTTCTTTTCAGAGTTTTTAAAATATATATATATATATATAATGTATTTAGAATTTATTTTCACCTGTAGTATTAAGTGAGGACCTAAAATTTATTTGCAAATAACCAGCTAATTTTTAAAGCAATTTAATATCCCCTTTATTAAATACTGTTTGTGTATTATAGGCCTGATTAAGAGCTTTCTTCTCTGTTTTATTGACTTATAAGCTTACTTCTGTGACAATACCATGATAGTTTACTCATTGAAGCAATTTATTATGTTGGGTTAGGTTCCTCCCCCATTCCCACCTCTTGAATTTCTTTGCTATTCTTACATGTTTATTCTACAGATTATTTTTAGAACATTTTGTAAACTCTTTTCCTCACTTGTGATCTTTATAATATACAATTTCCTCAACTATGAACATTCTCCATTCTTTTAATTCATTTTTTGTTTCATACTATTGTGTGCATACTGTTTCAGTTTTGAAGCATTTGTTAATTATACATGCTTAGTATATAATATAAAGGTGTGCTACATTTTTAACAAAGTGTATATTAATTATTATAATGGAGTATATAATCTTAAGCATTGAGTTTTACTTGCATATGGAGATTGGGTCTGATTTTAAGTAATATTTGAAGGCCACATGCAATAATATTAATAATAACTAATAGCAAAAAGTAATCTACCTCTAATTTTGAGAAAGATTACTTCTATTATTAAAAAATTGCTATCATGTAATGTAAAAATAAACAAGAATCTAGAATTCTATTAGCACTTTAAGCTTTTCAATTACTTATAGTATCTCTATTTTAATATATTTAATTTACTCATTTGGGGATGCTTTTCTGTACCTAAAAGCTCTGTAATTTGTTGATCTTCAGGCTATGATGCAAGAAGTTCTCAAGCTTATTTGATTTTTGTGCAATAAAGTAGATCTTTGCATAGGAGTGAAACTGGATTAGCCTAAATGGATCAATAAAGTTCCTTCTAATTTTAAGTGAGAATCTTTTAATCAGCTGTTATATTTAATGTAGCAGTTTGATAATCCAAAATCATTTGCCACCTGTTTATTTGCTCATTCATCCATCCATTTTCTCATTAATATTTCATTTGTTTATTTATTCAGCCAGCTTTATTAAGTGTTTTAATCCAGCATTGGGATATAATGATAAACAAGATAGTTCCTGCAGAAGCTTCTTCCAGATACTAACAATGTAGAGGATGAATTAGAGGGACATAAAATTGGAAGAGATTGAAGAGTTAGAAGACAGTGGCCATAGGAATGACAACGAGGGAATGAAGATATAATCATTAGGACTTAGTGCCAGTTAAATATGAGTTCACTTTTAGGGTATGTTGGATATACAAGTGAAGATAATGTATATTCAAGAGAGTCATGGCTGGGCATACAGACTTGGGAGTCATCAACGTATAGCTGGCAGTTGAAGTCATGGGTTAGGAGATCTTTCAAAAGAGTCCTTAGTGTGAAAAGAAGGGAAAATTGGAGGCTTGGGGAACAATAGTATTTTTGGTTGGTCAGAGGAAGAAGACCAAAGTGGAGTAATCAGAGAGGTAGAAGGGAGCCTGGGAGAGTGTTTCACAAAAGCTGAAAGAATTTTCCGGGCAGGAATGCTCAACTGTATCTAAAGTCAAGGCAAGGGCCAGTAAGATAAGGATTAAAAATGTCTACTAAATTTTGTAATTAGGAGATCATTGGTGATCATGCGGAAATCCATTTCTGTGGGAGGTTTGAATAATAGAAATGGTGCCCCCCACTTTTTTAACACCCGATTTTTTAAAAAAAAGAACTTTGGGCTTATAAAAGGAGGCTAGACAGACTAGAAAGACAAGAAATATTAGGAGTTGTAACTTTAATGGAGGGTTAGCCTTGGCGAGGAAGGCAAGTATATTAAGGGATATTTGTTGAAAACGGAGAAATTCAGAGCTGTCTTCCTCTAGCAGTTAAAAGCTTCACAGCAGCAGGGATTGATTTACTCACCAGTGTGTCCAGTGCTTAGCATATAGCAAGTAATCAATAAATGCTTGTTGAATGGTGGAGCCTAATGAAAGAGTGGAGCAATTTTTGCTCATCCCAGGTCTAAAGTAAAGCTTCAGAAGTTATCCCAGTCTGGAAGTTTAAGACTTACTTTTTGTTCTCTGATGTTAAAAATTAAGCCTATGGCCAAAAAATTTAACTTTCTAAAGGAGTTTTTAAAATTCTTTTAGAATAAGCTCTGCTGTATGACATAGTCTATGTTCTTCATAGTACTACACATTCCTAAGCTTTACTACTTTGTCTTTTATAGTGAATTTTAAGTTCTGCTTTTGTTATCTTTTTTTTGAAACTTTGCAAATGTTAAAGATTTTATTTACATTTTATGTTAGTTATAAAGTTGAAACAACTTTTAAATAAGAGGTATTAACCATGCCTTTTCAGTGTGACTTGATTTGGGAACTGTACCTATCCTTTTTTAAATGTGAGCATTTATTCTTTAGTGCTAAGTTTGTGATAGTAAGTGTCCTATGAGCCATATCATTTGTAGTGAAACTAATTCCTTTATGTTCTATTTAATGTTCCATTTAATTTTTGTAATCTAAGAGATCAGAGAGTCATAATCAAGTTAATATATCCCAGTTGTTTACTTTGGTAGTAAGACTTAAATTTTCTATGTAATTTTTTCCTGTTAGAAAGAGTCAAGGAAATATATGAGTATAAAAGATTATATTTTTAGGCAAAAAAAATAACCCCTAAGTTTTTCTTTTGAGATTTCTCAGTTGTTTTTAAAAATTTTATTTCTGTTCCACAGACATATATGTGAAATATGGAGTAAATTAGAAAGAAAAGATATACAGTACTATCTAATATGACTATGCATTTTTCTTTTAGTCTGGGAAATGAAGAACAGCAGCCTGAAGTTCCAATTCTTTATCATGATGTAACATCCCTTTTGCTCATCCAGATCTTAATGATGCCACAACCCTTACGCAAAGGTATGTCTTTATAGTTCAGATTGTTAGATTATATACTATATATTATCAGTATTCTAGTGATTATAGGAAAAAATATAGTGAGTCTGGGTATTATTTTATGGTAAATAATATTGTTTTTTCTATTATTAGTAAAACAATAATATCTATGAAGATGACGATGAAATAAAAGTGTTTTTAAAAAATTCGTGTGGGTTTATTCCTTTCAGTTTTTTAGTCAACAAGACTTAAAGACATGGGGAAACCACTCTGAAAACGTTTGTTTTTTGAAAAAATTGAGGTGATAATACAAATGAAAAATTGAAGAATGGAGCAAATTGTTAGCCTTAATGCCTTCCCTCTATCTACATGCACACATATTTCTATATAGTAGTCATCATAGAGTTATTCAAAAAGTGATATCCTGTCATTTTAAATTAGCATTAGTATTATAACATTGTGATATTAACAGCATTAGTACTGTATTAGCAATATTTTAATTACTGCTCCATAGTCTTTCTACAGGGTGTCCCAAAAGTCGCTGTACATAGGGAAAATGGGAAATTACAGCTTTTTTTGATGAATATTCGGTTTTGGACTGTGTTTCGGCACTTTATCTTTATCCAACCATTGTGCTGAATGCTTGCGATGGTCAAAAAGAATCATTTTTCATCACACTTAACAATATGGTGTAGAAATGGTTTGCCTTTAGGTCGTGACAGCAAACGAAGGCAAGTTTCGAGACGATTTCTCTTCTGACACTCATTTAATTCATGTGATACCCGTCTATTCAGCTTCTTTACCTTGCCCATTTGTTTTAAATGGTCCAATATTGTTGGAATAATAATGTCAAACCTTGCTGCTAATTCACGCATAGATGGAGATGGATTTGCTTCCTCTACAGTTTTCCACTGTCATTGTAGTGATGAATTCCTTTTAGAATTTAGAGTCAGACAAAAAAATTGCCATTCTTTATTAAATTTTTTAGTCTTTCACACATTGAGAACTCGATTAGAGACCTTAACTTTAACTGCTAGGAAGTTCAGATCTTAATTATATTGTTATTTTAATTTTCCTGAGACAGCTTTTTTTAGTATGTGGGGAGTTGCAAATTAGGGGAGGCAAGAGTTGTTAAGATAAATTTTTCTTTTCCACCCTCTGTTGATGTAAAAGTTAACATATTAATTGTATTGTTACTTTAATTTTCCTGAGACAGCTTTTTTTAGTAGTTGGGGAGTTGCAAATTAGGGGAGACAAGAGTTGTTAAGATAAATTTTTCTTTTCCACCCTCTGTTGATGTAAAAGTTAACAGTGGGTAGTCTTTATCATGTCTGTGTTTTTATTGTAAGGTATTTTTATTTTATTTTATTGTAAGGTGTTTTTGTTGTAAGAATGTGTATTTGTGTAACTGTTTAGTTATCAGTTGTTATTAGAAAAGAAAAGGAAAGGGAGGAAAATTTTATTGTTATATGTACTAGACTGTTAAATGGTTCTTAGGGTTTTATCTGAAAAACAGATTGGTGCAGAAACCTACCTGGACACCTCTTAACCTCTTAAGGTTAGCACTACTTTTAGGTTAAAAGACCTTTTTACCCCAACGGTCTCATCAGAAGCTCAAATTAAATATTCTAAAGAGAAGTTTTTGTTTTTCTTTGATCTCTTATGTCCTTGTATCTTACCTACATAACGCCTGTCATATCTCTGGCCTTTAAAGAATAAGCTTGAAAATAACTTCTGATATATCACTTTCTTCAGGTATTTATGTTTAGTTCTCCATGTCCAAAGGGAAGAAATGTTTATAACTTTGGATCAGGTTTTTCTGTGTATAGCAGAAAAGAGACCAAAAATAACACAGTAGCTTAAGTAAGATAGAAGTTCATTTTTCTTTCATGTAGAAAGAGTGTGCAATAGGTAGGCCAGGTGTTTCTACATCACTGACCCCACCAGATTCAGATTCTTTTTTTTCCATATTTTAGATTCTAAAAACAGAAGGTAGTTGGTGTTAAGAAACCTTATTTTGTCTCCTCCCCACTGAGATTTGCCATGGGACATGTGACTACCCCTGTGGTGTTCATTGTAGGCAGGAAGCTTTTCTTTTTGGTTTTGAGACTCTTAGGTTCACACACAACTGGTTTCTATGAAACTATAAGTTTTTTGCATTCAAGAGAATCTGAAAAGCTGAAAAGTTTTCTGGTAACATTTTGGATCTTACATTTGTTTTTAAAAGCATGTGAGCCAAATAAAATACCTGCGAGAATACAACCTCTCATATATAAATGCTCCCAAACTGAGTGGGACATGACAAAAGCCAGTGAGGGTGGAGAGGGAGCTTGACCATAACAAATTCTAAATGGTATGGCTGTCATCTTCCTGTACCAAGGTAACTGCTAGAGTTCCAGCCATCACAGTCTAGTTTAAGGCACCGGAATGAGAGTTGATGGAGGAACTTCAACCTCTTTTTAAAGAAGACCTTTTAGAAGATCCACACAAAACTCGTATCTCTTTGGCTAAAATTCTTTCTTCTTTTTGAAGCTCCAGAGTTTAAAACATAAAATTATCATCTTTTTTGGGACAGATCAGTTACTCAGGTTTGGATCATGTTGCTGTTCTTGAGGAGCTTCACAAATCTGTTCTCCACCATACTTTTTAGGGTAGAGACCCCTGGAGTCTGTGGAGCATCTGGTACTAGTGATTATTGACTATCCACTGCTTCCAGGATCCCTTACACAGGACCTGTGGAAGAGAGATAGAAAGATGCTTATTATTTTTCATTAACTTAAAGAAAATCTCAGTTTTGCTTTGTTACATACTAAGGGCTTTAAAAATAAACTGTTTATTTTAGAATGTTTCAAACATATATAATGATAAAGAGCAGAATTTAATGAAACCCATGTACCTACCAATTATCAACTCATGGTCAATCTTGTTATATTTATATCCTCACCTATTTCCTCTTCCCTTCCACTCATAGTTATTTCGAAGCAAATCTCAGATACCCTATCATTTTATCTTGATAGTCTTCAGTATGTATCTTAGAAAGGTGAGGATTCTTTCAATAGACATAACCATAATACCATGAACACTTAAAAATGAGCAGTTATGCCTTAATATCATTAAATACCCAGTCAGTGTTCAGATTTCCATAGTTGCTTCTTGTACATGATTTCTTATAGTTGGTTTGTTTGACTCAGAATCCAAACAAAGTCCACGCATTGGATTTGGTTGTTATAGCTCTTTTAAATCTTTGGGTTGCCTCCCATTCCTTTTCCTCTTATATTTTATTTATTGAAGAATCTGGGGTCTTTTTTCGTTTAGAGTTTTTTCAGCAGGAGACATAATTTCCACTTGTCTCTCTTTATGTAACATTATCAGCTATTGGTGATTCCCTAGATTTATTCCTTAATTATTTCATTTGTTAAGTGGAAATCTTATCAAGAGAAAAATTTCCTATTTTTTCTGTAGTTTACACTTTGGTAGAGTTGATACAGGAAAGGTAGGTTATGTGCTTAATTTTTTTTACTTACTGGTTTTCAGAAAAATGGCTTTTTTTTGCCTTTCTTCAAAGATGATTGCTTTTTTATTTTTTAGTAGTATTATAAATTCATGGATTTTAACATATTTGATGTCTTTCAATCCTACATTAGAGTAATAACTGTTTAAATACTTTAAGTTGGCTTGTGTCCTATTGATATGACCCCAGCAATCTTTGATAACTTCTTCAGACCAAGGCTTTTTAATCTGTGGTTCCAGAGTTCATTAGTAGGCTTCAAGGAATCCATAAATCTTCCCAAATGGTACAGAAAATTTTTATATGTATATGTACATTTATTCTGAGTAATTCCATTGCTCTTACCCTATTTTCAAAAGGATCTTGATGTCTAAAATTTAATTATTTATAAATTCTTCTGTGGACTCCTGGCCATAGACAAATATATAGTTCTATAATAAGGAATAGTAGTAAGGAAGTTACTTTTGCAGTTGTAGAATCAGCAGATTACAGTGGGATGAGAAACGAGGAGGAGGTGAGAGAATAGAAATAGTGAGCAGAGAGAACTGCCAAAAGTGAATGGGGAGAGAGCAGAAGCTATACATGGAAGTACAGTAGTCTGTTTTAGCTGCAGTTTTGTTTTTCATGGTTTTAGTTACCTATGGTTAACTTTGGTCTGAAAACATTAAATGGAAAATTCCAGAAATAAACACTTTATCTGTCTTAAATTGCATACCATTCCGAATAGCATGATGAAATCTCATGCCCTGTCCTGCCTGGGACATGAATCATCCCTTTGTCCAGCAAATGCATGCTGTGTATACTACCTGACCATTAGTCACTTAGTAGTTGTCTGGGTTATCAGATATACTGTTATGATATCACAGTGCTTGTGTTTAAGTCACCCTTATTTTACTTAATAATGGCCCCAAACCATTAAGAGTAGTGATGCTTGCAATTTGGATATGCCAAAGAGAAACTGTAAAGTTCTTCCTTTAAGTTAAAAAGGTAAAAGTTCTTGACTTAATAAGGAAAGAAAAAAAAGTCATACGCGGAGGTTCCCTACGATCATCAATAAAACCACCGGTTAGTGGTAGCTCACACCTGTAATCCCAGCACTTTGAGAGGCCAAGGTGAGAGGATCTCTTGAGGTCAGGAGTTCGAGACCAGCCTGGGTAATATAGGAGACCCTGTCTCCACAAAAAATTAAAATAAAAACATTAGCCAATTGTGGTGGTCCATGTCTGTAGTCTTAGCTACTTGGGAGACTGAGGCAGGAGGATCACTTGAGCCCAGGAGTTGGAGGATGCAGTGAGCTATGATCACTGCATTCCAAGTGGGTGACAGAGCAAGATCCTGTCTCTAAAAAGAAAAAAAAAGATTTACGGTAAAAATGAATTTTCTATCTGCGAAATTATGAAGAAGGAAAAAAATTTGTGCTATTTGCTATCATATCTCAAATACTCAAACAGCAAAAGTATGGCCACAGTACAATATTTTGAGATATTTTGAGAGAGAGACCACATACACATAACTC